CACCCGCGGCCCGCCCCTGCGCCTTGTCCTGCTGCCACCTTCCCACAGGCCGCTGCTGGCGGACACCTGGTACTCCCTGTCCTACCTGTACTTCAGCGCCGTGGGCTGCCTGGGCTGCGCTGCCGCCGGGCTGCTCCTCAGCATCGTCACAGGTGAGCTCAGCCCCTGCGGGGGCAGTACGCGGTGCAGGGGCTTCCATCGAGCTCTCACACTTCCTTCTCTTCCTCCCATGTCCCCACCAGGCCCCCAGAGAGAAGAGGACATCCCACCGGTGCTGCTGAAGCCGCTGTGCTGCTGGCGTGGCGTGCGACACAGGAGCAGGCGCGTGAGTGGTTACTGCAGGCAGGGGGCTCCTCTCTAAAACCCACTGCTGAAAACGGCATCTGAGGAGGCTGGGATCGAGCTCTCACACTTCCTTCTCTTCCTCCCATGTCCCCACCAGGCCCCCAGAGAGAAGAGGACATCCCACCGGTGCTGCTGAAGCCGCTGTGCTGCTGGCGTGGCGTGCGACACAGGAGCAGGCGCGTGAGTGGTTACTGCAGGCAGGGGGCTCCTCTCTAAAACCCACTGCTGAAAACGGCATCTGAGGAGGCTGGGTGATCTTCAGCTCCGCGATCGCGTCCAACGCGTGCAGTCCCGGGGCGGCTGGCAGGGACCTGGGTGGTGACATGATGGCGAGGTTGGGGAGCACTTGTGCCAGCAGCTTCCTCCACCTCTGAGGGCTCCAGCAGAGACTTCCCTAGAGAAAAGAAAGGGCTTTAATTAAAGCCATATATCAAAAAGAGTCACTTCTTTGGATTTCTGTAGGAAAGGATGCCAAAACTTCAAAACGCAACAAGACAAATGCAACCTCTGAATGAGTATTAAGAGGCAGGGAATACTCACTCTACAAACTCTTGTGCCCTTTTCCCAGGTGGACTTGGACAACAACATACCTCAAGTCACTGCGAAGAAACCTAGAAGAGAAGATTCTTTGCAGAGCAAAGCCGAGAACAAAACTGAAAGGCACCCACCTGGCTACAATCCTGAGGAAAAATCCTACACCAACATGGGCATGGAATCTCGCCTGTAGAAGCTGAGGGACAAGGATGCTTAATCAACAGCCTGGCCAGCTTCAGAAATGAAGAGCTCTTTTTATTGCGTTTTTTTCCAGCTTGTAGATGACTAATGGAGGCCAATTGCTCTCTATAGGAATAAAGGCAGATTTTTATTTATGACTTTCATGACAGAACTGGAAAATTTTAAGACAACCAGGGTTTGGAAGCACTGCTATTTCAGAAGAAACATTTCGTGCATAACACCATGGTAATTCCTATTGGGAATTAGCTACAATATACCTATACCGTACTCTCCGTTCAGTAGCTAGTTATTTAAGGTGCATGTGCAGTGGTGAACTTCAGACAGAGTAGAGCCTCAGGTGACTTCCCAGGGCCTCTCACTAAGATGAGGTTGTGGAGGGCACACGGTTTACAGCACAGGCAAGAAGAGAGGCTGGGGCAGCTTCTCTGCCTGTGCGGATGATACTGGTCTTCTAAAGACTAACTCATGCTCCCTTCTGTGGGACTGAGGCACACTCTTCACCATGACTTGTTCTAAGATACAGGAGACAGTTAACAGACTTTACTTTGAATTCAGGATAGTCTTGGACAGGCATCCTTTCAGCTTGAAAAGATCAGAAACTTTTTTGGTTGAACATTTGTTTGTAAGCCTGACATTTCTGAGCTGCAAAATCCCTCTATTCATTCCAGACGATAAAGAACCTCCCCTTTATCCCCAGTTTGATGAGGTCACCTAATAGAAAAGCACTACTGAATTTTGGAGGAAGGCTCATGATTAGGCACAATAATGTCATCAGCTTTAGAATAACATGCCCACTCCACTATATGCTGCTTTCCAGCAAAACACATTACCTCTGAAACTTGCCAGTTGTAAATCAAATTCAACAGGTCTTGTTTTACCTCCAAGCTTGGAAGACCAAGAAAAGGTAGGGAGCCAGCTGATACTCAGCTCATAATGCTTTGAAGATCTGAACCTTCGCTTTTATTTCACCTGTGACCACCTTTAGGGTGTAGATGCCTGGTCCCTGAAGTTGCTTCCTCCTTCTGTGTTTATGTTCTCCAGGAACAGCCCCAAAATATTCAATCAGAGAGCAGAAATAACAGGGTGTTAAATAATGCTACCTTTCTTGTGGGGGTGATGGTTTGCCAACAAGCTGACAGGCGTTTTGTTTGTGACTCACTTTCCGTTGGTGTTTGAAACCTTCTGAACACCGATCCGGTCGCTCGTTCGGCTCACTCCCCAAGGGGCTGGCATGGAGAGCTGCAGCCTTGCTCCCTGATACCATTGTACCTGTCACATATCATGGCCACAAATGTTAGCTCTGAGGTTGTGCTGACAAAGCCAAGCCATCACGCAAGAAAATTCAAAATAATTCAAGAGCAGATGTGGTTGAAAACAATGTCAAACTCCGTAGCTACACAGTGAATGTTATCCTCTCTCTACTGAGGAGGGAGGATATCTGATTATGAGACATCTGACTGTGAAGCAACCGGTTTTCATGGGAACTGTGCTCCAATAAATTATTTCTTACCTGAGCTACTTACTCATCACAGTATTCTTACTGCTTTAAGAATCTTTTGAGCTCTGCATGCTGAAGGAATGCTTAATTTCCTTTTTTTTTCTATATTTTTTTATCTACCTTTTCCATATTCTTCCAAAATCATTTGCCGCAGAAGAGTTTCTTTTTATTTGCTTATTTAGTGTGCAAGACACTGAGTCAAGTCAGCTAGCACTATATTCTCTCAGAATGTTTTTGGGGAAATCTGTGGAAGATTTTCTCTCCTATAGTTCTGGCTAGTTTTGTTTCAGCTAAAGCTGTCCGTTCAGTCTCAGTATCCTATGTAAAACATTAAATATTCCACAGGGTTTTAGCTTACACCCATATGTAGACTTACACATGATAGATAAAATAGTAAATCAGTAGTGTATTTGTACCAAAACTTGCACAAAGTTTTAAGGATGTGGTGCCTAGTGAAACTCACATTTAGAAAAATCACTGTTTTGATTAAATATTCATGTCAGTATTAGAGTTATCTGCTCATTTATGTTACATCTTGAGCCAAGGACCTGCCCAGAGAGGGAAAGTCCTGCCAAAGGACTCGGAAGAGAAGAAAACTCAGCAAGGTCCATTCGTGGAGTTTTACCCAACTTCATCCAGGGCTGGAGTTTATCGCTCCTCTCCTTACAAAAGCAGATGATGCAAGCACACAGATCCTCAAGTGCTCAGAGGACTCTTCAATTCCTGCTATAAATGTCCTTCCTGGTGTTTTTCCCTTAAAACAGAGATCCAGAAGCCTGGGAGAGCTCAGGATCACCAAGGAAGCCCCTGGCTATACTGGGCACCTGCTGCTTTTCTCAGAGGAGGTGCCCGAAGCCTTTTCCAGCACCCCATATTTAGCGGAGTGTTTTCCTACGCACGAAGCGTTCAGGGGCTAAGAGTTAGCCGGGCCCGTTGAGCTGGAAAAACAAGATGGAGAAACTAGGAACATGCAAACTCTTAAACAGGAGCTTAAAGCAATTATCAGTCATTAGTGAAAGCTGCAGATTATTAGTGACTGAAAATTTGGAAAATAGGTATGTGCCTCGAGAACACAGCAGCTAAGGCAGTATTTAGGGATTGAACATTCAGCAAGTGTCTGATGCAAGGTTTAATCCTTAAATTACTTCCTATTTTGGCTGGAAGACACGTAAACACTCCCCTCTGGAATTTTGGATGTCTGCTTAAAGCATACTCAAGTTTATGGGACTTTACCACAGGCTTGATGCTGGGAGATAAAAAGAAATGTCCCTTCAGTTAAATACACACAGCCTTAGTCTTAAGCACTTAAAACACAGAGTATAAATATTAGTAGATACTGATTGCAATTTGCCACTAAGGGATTAGTAAACATGTTAAATTATGTTAAAGTTACTATGAAGATTTACTTACACATGCAGCTGGGTTAATAGTAGCTTATGTTTCCAAAACCAGCGTTTAATTCTTTTTTATAATTTTGAATATTGGAATAATGAAGTTCAAACTCTCCTTCAAAGATATCCAAGTTTATTACTGAAAAATGCAATATTCAAATGTGTATGATACAATAAGTAGTTGCATTTGTACATGTAAACCTCGATAAAGTAAACAGCATCTCAAAGACAAGTTTATGCCAAAAGTGTCTTATAATAGTTAATCAGATCAGCATTTCCCTCAGCAAATTCCTTTAATTCTGGGGTACATATTGGGAAGTAAAAGTAACCTTAAAACACAAAGGAAAGCAAAAGCTGACAGGCCAGAGAACTTCCAGCATGTAGTGCATAAAAGTCAACTCTTTTGAAAGATTTTGTGGTAAGTATTGCAACCTCATTTTAAACATTACTTACAAAGTTTGGATTCATGAATAGAAAAAATAGTTGATTTTTTTTTCTAATTCTATACTTAGAAACCAAGTAGTATTTAAATATTACATAAATTTCAAATATATACACATCTTAAGAAATGTCTTACGATCGTGATATTGCAAGTTACCCAGGACTATCAGAGTAAAAATGACTGAAGTATGTTATTTAGTTAGATTTTACATGAGATTTCAAACACTTGAAATTTCAGTGATACTAATCTAGGTAAAAATTAGAGTAAAGCTTGGGAGTTTTTTTTTTTTTTAAATACAAAACCGTCATACACGTAAAACAGGAAATAAAAAGGAGATTGAATTTCCTCTCATTTTTAACAGAAAAGTCGCCATGTTCCCAGTGCTTAAAATCTCATTAGCTTTGGACTGCATTGGGTTTGATGCCAATTGCTCATCCATTAGCATCCTAACCCCTGATTCCCGGCAATAAGAACGCAAACTACAGAGAACGCAAAACACTGTAGAGGTCCTGGCAAAAAGGGACAAGCCAATGGAAACAACACAAGATCAATTCTCAGTGCAGTGAGAGGGAAGATACCACTAACATTTCAAGACCTGCATTTAAAACGTTCCTGTGTAATATGGAATACCAAAGTGCTTTCTGTCTTGTTGTGCTCTTACGGTAACTTTGTGCTCTTGCGGTAACTTTGTGCTATGCCCAAATCAAGCCAATACAAACCTATAGCCATCGTGGCTGCCACGTTAACATGGGAAAAAAAAAAAAGTCATCCAAGTCAATTCAAACAAATGGTAAAAAGAAGCCAAGCTCAGGATGGCTCAGAGTCTTTAGGAGGATGCTAGAATGCATGTGCGTAACTGTAGGGAAGATGATCTCTTATGAAAGGATGGTTGTATATTTGCTTCAACCTGTACCTCCCAATGAGCAACACGAGTATTTTTTCATGATTAAAAAAATTAAAAAGCTTTTGAAAGTACATTTTAAGTGACCACTGATGTCATTATTTTTGTCTCTATCCCTTTTCTACTATAAAAAATTAATAGAAAATGTGATCGTTTGATCTTCCATTAACTTTATTGCCTTCCTATTCAGCTATTTCTATAAAATAAGTTTTATTTGTACAACTAATGAATGTAAAAAAATTAGTCTGGAATAGCGTTACATGAAAGTTATGGAAGGTCAAAGTTAACTATCGAAGAACCACTTTTTTTTTTTTTTTTCTCCCTTCTACTTATGGACCATGATCATTCTCAGGTAATCAGAAATGATACAATGCTCCTTAATAAGTATATACTAATTATCACCAAATGAACTGTGGTATAATTCAAAAGATTAATTAAGCCCATGGTGCACTATAACCATTCACAGGCAAATATTAATGATCCCAAAGCTCCAGAAATTATCTCTGCCAGCAGCAGTAATTGGAATTTGCAGTGGAACAAGTCATAACAAGGAAATGCCAACTGTCCCAAACTGCTAGAACTTACATTACATTGATGCTCTTAGGTACACATTCAGAACAAAACCTCACTTAATTTCCCACCCTTCCCTACATCAAACTGCCCTCAAAGGTTTATGTTTCCCAAAATTTTTTATTTTTTGTTCTGTAAAACTCCTAATGAAAAAAACCTTACAAAAATTAGGGACTTTTCCATTAACCTCTAGGTAACTTACTCTTACCAACTCCTTTTGGACATTTTTCTTTGAGTCTTCAACAGGGCCCAACTGAACCTAAATCATCCTCAGAAGAAAATTTAAGACAAGTTAGAAAAGGGGATCGTAACAAGTGATGTGTTCACGTTGCCGTAATGAATACAGGTATCTTAAAGAAATAACACTTATGGCCTATTGCGATTATGGAAACTGTGGCCTCGTGGTCACCAACATTAACTTCAGTGTTAAGCCTCATTTTCTCCATAAATCCATCAGCAAAAAGGGGTAGGAAACAAAAAAGGATCGGCTGCCCGGACGCAGCGTGCCTGGTTTTGGAGCTGTAGCGTCTTAGCAGGATGCACAACTAAGAGCTTTGCAGGAGAGGATGCCAGTACTCAAGCCCAAGGTCACCCCTTTAGATCCCTATCATGATCCCGAGCTCTTTGTGCATCTTCTCCTGAGGAGATGGGGAATCTTTGCTCTAGGGGCTCAGAAGATCAAATTAAATCTAATTAAATTTATATTAAAGCAATTGAAAATGAGATGCCTATAACCTACATGCATTTTCCACTGTTTTAAGGTAGAGTTTTCTTTTGTCTGACTCAAGATGCTGAATTTGGTTAGGAATAATTAAGACATTTTGGAGTAATCTTTTGTATTTAAAAATACGTACTTGCTCATGCAGTCTCTCTAAGGGCACATGCATAGAGCAAAGTTGTCACACATTAGATCAGCAATGATCTAAAGCATTTTTGCACAGCTGGTAGCTTTGTCAGATTTTACAAATGCAGCCTGCATGCACAGTCTATTCATACTGGTGTTTTTTGTTTTTGTTTTTTTCTTTCCTTTTTTTTTTTTTGTAAAGACAATACTTAGAATATGAAAAGTTCATTCGCCATACATAAAATACATTATTCCTGAGGACAGTGTGTGCCTTACACTTTAGGAAAATAACGTGCAGTCAATGCAAACACCATGTGAAATGAAGTCTAGAAAAAAAGTGTTCTCAAGCTTAAGCAAACAGCTAGATAGAGGCAGAGCTTTTAGATGTTGCTGCTATCCTCCAGAACCAAAAGAACACGCACAGTAATTCTCCAAAACTTCTTGTGCTTTCCCAGTGCATAAACTGAACAGTGCCAGATCTACATACTTGCCTGTTGTGTGCTGAAAATCGTTAAGAATATACATATCTATTTAAATCCAAAAGCATCCTCAAATACAAAAAGGCTTTCTTCCATATGTATTGGTAAGGTCCAAATGGGATTTTGCTCACTTGGTATTGTCATATGCCAATGTCCTCAGCAGAAAGAAGAAAATATAAAATAATTAATCAGTATTTTTCATTTTTTGCCTAATTTTATGCTAAATCCTTATACCTTGGGCCAGCCAAGGCCTTTTTTTTTATCCTACAGAAAACACTAAAGAGAAATCTCATCTGTGACCATATGAAGAACTGAAGTACTACTGTTATATGGCACAAAAATGCATCCTTTGACGTATAGTTCATGCTGTCAAACAGTGCTTGATATTCTATCTCACGAACAGTGAGGCAATTAAATCAAATCAAATAACGTGATTACAAAAGCACTGGAGGGAACGTCTGAATTATTTCTAAAGGGGAATTTAAGAAACTGAAAATGCAAAACACAATGGGAAGGGGAAAAAAACAGCTTTCCCAAACAGAGAAAGCTCAAATCCCCCAGCCCCTTATCACAGGGCTCAAAGACAACACACAGCTTCCAGTTTCTTCCCTCCGTTGTGCAATATTAGAGATACTCCTACCCTGACTTTGCCTGGTCCACTGGGACTCACATCAACCAAGACAGTGCTAGAATAAGGTAGATTGACTAAAATAATGTAGGGTCTTATGGTAGGCCTCCCGAGACACAACAGATCTAATTCATCCACCTCAAGGGGCTCTTGGCTCTTAAGATTAACTTTATATAACATTAAAAAAAGGATTTTTCAAAGATATGGGAGTGAATACTGGAATCACACTTTTTTGGCTCAATATCTTAAGTAAAACTTCAGGTCTTTTCATATCTGTCCTTAGTGACTTCCCTGCATTTTTACTGCTAAAACTGATGCTAACATTTGCATTTCTTACTGTGTTTTGTTGCATCCTTACTTTTTAATTTTTTCTCATCTAACATAAATTAAAAAAAAAAAAAAGTTGTACAATGGAAGCAGAATGAGAGTAACTTTGTCCCCCTGCTTTCCTCTCTGCAAGTGATTCCTGCCCACTTGTTTAAATTAAGTGCTTCTTATCCCACGTTACGAAATGTTATTAATAAACAATTTCATCACCAAAATGTGACTGTAACCACAAGCAACACTGCCTTAAGCCCTATGCACAGAAAAAGTCAATGCTTTATGTGCATTTCTACTCTTAGTGATTTTATCCAAAAAGCCTCTCAAAATTGTAAGAAGGCATAAAAATAATCACTAAAAAAAATCTAAAAATAATTACCGTGCATGTGTGCATTTACATACAACCCATATACATATCTGCATGTACCTAATTCCCATGCTTTGACTTACACAGCCCAATAACAGAAGTGCACATTGCTGGAATATTTACTATCGCAAGAAGAGCATCGTTATAAAGTGCTCTGTTTCTCCATCCCTGCTAGATATTTCTGCATAAGCTTGCATCCCATAAACAGGTATTTGTATGCTCAGAATGAAGCCAGCTGCACTGTGTTGGAGGGTTTCGAGGTAACGCTCTGCAAAGCCGTAGAGTCGTTGCCCAGAGAGGGGCAGCACGCTCGGACACGGGCTCGCGCTCCGGAGGAGTGTGGAGGTGGCCTTGCTGCATATAAAAGTGAAAAGACTTTGATGGCTCCCATCGTTTGCAAATCGAGCAAGCTCTCTGTGCTGCTCTTTTCTCGCTCAGTTTAGGATTGTTTTTGGCTTTCAAGGAGGAGGATAACATAACGAAATCGATGTGCAAATATTAAACTGCATAGTATATGTTAAGCAGCCATATACCCCCTTGTTAGGGTAGGACCACATCCACAATCTCGACAAGAGACTAGGACAAACCTGACAAAATAGTAAGCCTGAAAGATCATTTATATCAAGTTATGGCCACAAAGGCAACAATTGCTCGTTTCTTCAGAGGCATTACAGATGCAGCTGAGCAATCAGAAGCTGTAGAAACAGTGGATATCACGTGAGTTGGTTTTAGTCATGCCCTTACTGTATAAGTTTACAGGTAATATTTTATTTTCGCTAAGCTGATAGTATCTTCATGAATAGCATGAACATTCTTTGCCTTTTCTAATCAAGAAAAGTCCACATTTCTGATCTGTCTGCACGCTCATCAGTGCCAGTCCTGTCCGTGCCACTCACCACCAAGCCAGGACAGACAGACAAGGCTATTCATGTTATTCATTGGAAGCATCTACTTTCCAGGTGCCAACCAAAGCCTGCAGCTGTACTGCCCATCAAGAAAATATATATATATATATACACACACACATGGTGAATCTCACGCTCGTGTCAGGGGATGACCTCATTTTGCAACTTCCAGTATTTCTGTTGCAGTGTGGTAGCAACTAAGGCCATTCGTGGTGATACTGTTTCCCGTTCTTCTTCCGCTCTTTCTGCAAATGCTCCAGCTCAGCCTCATACATCATTTCCTGGACTAAGTATTTCTCTCGCCTCATTCTGTCACATAAGTCTTTGGGCATGTCTGGAATCAGGTAGGCAATGAAAGACTTGATTCCAAAAACAAGGTGCTGAAAAGAAGAACAGAAATAATTACTTCCAAGACAGTCAAGTATTCATTTCTAGGACCAAATTTTAAGGCCTAAAAGTCAGTGGCAAAACTGGAACCAAGATTTGATTTAGCACTGAAAAGTGACCTGTGTGTTTGTGTAAGTACACACACATGCACATTAGCATACATACACATGAGCAATTTACCACAGCCTAAGGAAAATGTCAAAGTCTTTTAAAAGCAAATCTAACCGTATCTAAATAAATCTATGTATATATTGTAGCCTAAATTAAGATGTGATTGCAAATCTTTGCATACTCTTTCAATGCAGTTTGAAGCAGATCAGGGACAAAGGTTGGAGTGGGGGAATTCAATGTTTTGTTTTCTCTCTTGAGTTTCATGAACAAGCACCTAATGATACAGATACTTCCTCATTTATGGGCCCATTGCAAAACCATCAACTTGGATTTTAAATAGGTATAAGACGTTTTTTCCTTTCTCTGACTGACCTCGAATACTATAATGAAAGCCAGCCGTGCTGCCAGGACATGCCAGAACTGCAAAGTGAATTCATATGGAGTCGAACTCCACGGTGGCGCTCTGTAATCTCTATACCTGTAAAACAAAGGAAAAATCCTAGTAAACTAGCCTGTTCAAAATCCTGGACACTGTAAAGAACTCACTAGCCTCTCCTTGTGCCATCCAAAAAGGAAATGAAAAGAAAGCAGACTTCAGGAGCAATTAAACTGCCCACGATCCTGTGTTGAGTTCAATCCAGAACAAAATGCTAATAGACATTCTTTTAGTTTTAAGAGTTCATAGGATGCTTAAAAAATGAAATCAGAGTTTTTACCCTCATTTTATAGCTGGGGAAACTTTCAAACAAAATAGCTTACAGATGCCTGAAATGTAAGGTTTAGAAGAGGCCGATAAAAACACAGAAACATGGGTTTCAAATATCGTAGTACTGCAGCCTACGATACAAGCTTCCCATCTGCAACTTCCATTTTGAACAAGCTTATACCCCAGTGCTTTTACAGGAAGAAATAAAACTACTCTGGGAGTAATTCTGTCATGGAAACTTTCAATTTGATGGCCACTTTAGACGAAATACGAGCATCCAAACATACCGGCAATATCCAGAGTATCCCATCCCAAGCTCACTCAGATCAAACACCGATAAACTGCTGTTGACGTATCCTTTTAAGCATCTAAAGGGAAAAGGCACAGGATCAAGATTTTCTTCATAAGGTGATCACATAACATAGATCCTATATGCAAACATATTCTGTTATCACATAGCAGCAGCATTCTTTACTTATTAGGGCAAAAAGCAATTCTAAAATTTTAAACAGAGAAGCAAAGTTTTATTTGAAAGAAATAAAATCTGTATCAAGAATACATACTATTTTAATTTGAGCACTTTTAATCTTTTACTTTTTATCTACCAGCAGCTATAAAACAAAATTTCTTGCTTGCAGAGATCTTTCCTGGCAACTTCTATAACTTAGAAATTTTAATTTAGAATGATGGCTAGACATGCAGAAAGATAGAACAAATTAACATCTTTGCAGAATCTGCCAATCTGCACCATATATGAAAAGAATTGACAGGTTTTATGAGTTGAATAAAAGGAGAATTTTCACCAACACTATATACCAAAAAGTTGTCTTATAGGCAGCAAGGAAATGATATTAATGAAAGACATTGCACAAAGGAATTATTACAGTAGTTAATTTTTTATCTATTCTTTGTAAACAACAGACACAAAACCATCCTGTCCTCCTGAAAATGCATCCCCTAATTTAACTGACTGCCTCAGGAAAGGCAAGTTTTAGTATACAGGAGGGTTTGGGAAAGTATGTATGTATGTATGTGGGAGTATAGAGGGATGAGAAAGGCCAGGGCTCTTGCAGAAAAAGAAGGAAAGCTCATGTAGGAAGAGTTTGAAAACTGCTAATTCATATTGCATATATATATGATTTTATGATATATGATTTTCCAGTGATGCAGCTGTGGAGCAAACCAGGCAACATTCCTGAATGGTTGGGTTGCTTGCACTTAACTTTGGTAAAGTTATTCATGGATGAAAAAGATAAAATATTGTCAATGAAAGATGCTAGCAAAGGCACATTTCCACTGAAATATGAATGTATACATTAAAAACCAATATCTTCATTACTTTTCTTGTCTGTATCCCTGATCTGTGCAAGGGCCGTATTTGTATGCATAGACGAAGCGCGGAATGTAATCCGAAGTAATGGCAATAACAAAGGCATTGGTGATGACAGCCAGAACTCCAATTCCTTCCAGAATCCCATACCAGATACCTAAGAACAAGAGCAATGACAAAAGAAGTCCACAAGGTTATTCTCTTTATAATCCTCCTTTCTTACTGCAAAAGAATTACCGAGTTAAAAAAGCCAGATCAAGATTAAGCTACATTTCAACATTCCTGCCACCACAAGCTCCACATGAATTGGAGTCTTCTAGTAAGTTTTCCTTGTTAAGAAGAAATAGCTAAGCAGTAAAAGCATAATCAAAATCTTTGGTTATAAAAGCCAAACATAAATGCTTGGCCGAATAAAAATGTTATTTTTATTTCAGTTAGTTCAATCTAAAACCAAAGTGAATGTAATGCTCACATGTGATGGAATCTCAATTTTGAAATTCTCTTGACTGACTGATAGCATTTTAGGACTTGAGCATAGCAAATTCAAAGCCTAAAAGAAGAGCCTAAAATAACACTTCAGGATCTAATGAATAACATATTTTCAAAATATAGCTATTATGTTTCCTTATAAGAAATGTAAAGGAATTTTGAAAAGAAGTCCTCTTAGATAGTCATTACTGATATCTATAATATTACACATCAATTACACTCTTGACAGATGAAATATTTCTAGGGTTAAGTTGCATTAAGTTTTAAGAAGAAAACACAAGGAGGTGGTACCTGACTGTGACAGTCACTAGGTTCTCTCACCTATATCTGTTGCTCTTGCAGGCATAGGTCTCCGCCACTGAGTGACAAATTTGTATGCATCTAACCTTATTTCTATGATATTGTTAAGCAATGCCAGGAGAGGTGCCAGAGGGAAGGCAGCAACAAAGATGGTGGTAAAGCCAAACTGTAAAACTAGAAAAAAACAAAGAGTTCCATGATTAGAAATGGGAAATGCAAAAGATCGAAGTAAAACTTCAGTCTATTTTCTCTCCCTTTCTCTCTCTCTCTCTCTCTTTTATTTTTATTTTATTTTTTTTTAAAGAAAGTACATCTCACTCTAGATTTCCTCACCCATCTCTAAATATTCATCCATTAAGCCATGAAGATTCATAGGCTGCAGATTCCAATCTTTTTCCCACTGAGGTAGAGAAATCTTGTGTTCCATCAGTTGCCCTCCTTTCTTCATTTTGCGCCTTGACCACCAGTTCTGTAGTAACCTGTATTAGATAAACACACCATTATTGACTGCACTTCCTCCATAAATGACAATATTTGCTAGTACTGTTGTATACAATATTTACAGTATTGTAGCAAACAAAATCTTATGAAGATGTTCCAGAATTTTTTACTTTTGCATTATGAATTTGTGTATTTAATGACCATATATACATACATACATTAAATCATAATAATAAAAAAAAGGTTAATATACCCTGCACAGTTTTATTTCTGAAGAGCAGTTTTTGCTTCCCGTGGGAATAAATGTATAGTAAAACTGCATGTGAAGATAAAACCACTCCATACAGAGTGGTTTTTAAAGATAATTTTTGGTAAGACTGGACTATTTATACTCTATTTTTTTCCCAGTATGTGGAGAAAGAGTGTAGACCCAGTTATGTATTTCACAACCACATTTTTAGACCTTGAAACAAATATTGAACTTACGTAAACACTAGTAACAAGTCTCCCCTCATCTGCTCAAGGGAGGTTAAAAATATACCTTAAGGATTAAGTTTTGAGAGACAGCACAAGTCATGTAAACCTGAACTGGCTAAAGAATCCCATTCTAAGTGCTGGGATTTCCCCACCTGCATATTGCAGCTGCACACTAAGTCTTCATCAGTTTAGAAGACTAATTTCAATTAAAGGTCATATTCTACCTTGCACTGAAATAATAATAATAATAATGAAACATATATATATATTTCCTTGTCATTGAATCACAATGAGAGCTGATCAATGTTTACAAAACAAATATTAACACCTGAACTTACGGATAGCCCAGTTCCATGAAGTTGTTCCACATCTGTTTCAAAACCATAATAACTCCCATTTGCAAGCACAGATCTATCAAGCAGCCGCTTGGATGACACTGAAACAAATGGAAAAAGATTGGTTGCTAAAATCAGAAAACTACTTTTATTTTTATTTTTTCATAGAATGAATGGAAAATACTCTGCTACAGCTGACAAAAAACACTCTTCTTCAGGTACATGAATACTAACAGAAAATTAACAGCAGAAATACTAACACAAGCTCTAATGAAACAGACTTAAGGCATTTCTTTTCCTGAACAAAGGAATAGTATTATCCAGCTTAAGGACAGAGATATGTGAAAGGTCTCTGATAAATGATAAAGTCTTCTTCACTCAGGCAAATGGATATGCATTCATTTCAAAAGACTGGGGTAATATTTTAGCTGTAATATCCTAGGTCCGAACAGACACTTACCGGTGGAAGCTCTGCTATCAGTATCTTAGCTACACAAATTCCCAAAACAATGTACGTCAAAGTAAGCAATATACATTAGCACCTTCAGTAATTACAGAAGGTTTTAGACCAAGAGACTACAGAGTTACGGTATTTTTCTCCGTGGTTACCAAGGCTCTACTTAGATTGGAGCTACTGATATCAGAAATGCAGATCTTAATTAACAAGTTGAAATTTCATTTTTTGTTTAAATTGGTATTTTCACAATGGCACCAACTGAAGAAGCTGTCAAGGACAACTGATGGCACTACATGCATGTCTTCCATCCAGAAGTCTCACATAACCCGGAGATACCATCGGTTTAGAACGCAAATGCAGTCAGTGAGGGAACATCACAGTTTGTCACATACAGGCAGGCAGAAACGAGTGTCTCTTGTAGAGTGACTCTGAAGAGTCATGCTACACAACTGAGAAGGCAGGAGGAAAAACATATCTCCAGCTTCCCTGCTTTTGCTATAAATAAAAGTTATTCTTCTCTGCACTTAGATGGAATGATAAATCTTTCAACCTGGACTTAATTCATGTCTTTCAGCCATCCCACAGTTTCCTACCAGAAACACAAAATGGGATTGTTTACCTCTTCCAGTCTCCATCTGTTAAAAAGCTTGTTGTACTTCCCTGGGCGGCCTGCAAATCTGGAAAATAAGATTTCTGTTTCTCAGTGGGCATTCCAAGAGCATCCTCATCTGCAGAGCTATTTTGCAACATCTACTGAGAAAATTTGTGAAGCACAAACAGATTAAAACCCATGGGTGACATGTTATCATTTACAGAAGTGGGTCCTAGGAAATCTTCCCAAATGGGATTAACTGAGAGAAATGAATGAAGCTCGCTAATTCAACAGCAAATACAGATCCATGTTAGGAAGAGGTTTTATTTCCAAAGGTTCTGAATTCTGACAAATGCTTTTTGTTTTAGTATTAAAATCAAGTGTAGAGACCATCATGAAAAGCAGACTTTTTACTGTCTTCTTAAAAAAAAAAACAATTTCAAGAACTCAGCCTTCAAGTAGAATTGAAAATAATAATTGTGCTGTTAATCATCTGCAGAAACTATGTCATATCTAAATCTTACACTTCAGAAATTCAACATATTTTGATCTATTCATATATTTTCATACTTTCAACTTATTTTCTTCAAACATCTAAAATTATGGGGTCTATGCAAGTTTTTTTTTTTTATTTTTTAAAGCAGCTAGCAAATGACAACTTACCTGCCAAGGAAAAAAGCAATATAAAAGATAGAACTGTTCAGGTTGACAAACTGGAAGAGGAACATTTTCAAGGCAAAGCTGTTTTCCCACTCGGATTCTGTTCGAGGGTGCTCTGTGGAATAACACAGCATGTATCATGTACACTGAAATGAAATCAATTTACATCAAACCCTGCTCATAGATCAATTACTACTAACAAAACAAGTGAGAGGTTGAAAACAAGATAACCCATCAGGTTGCAATTATTTCCTTTCCTCACAAAACTCCTGCCCAGCTCAGACATGAAACCTGAGGATACAAGCCTCGAGTTACAGAATGTCCCCGGACTTGGAGGGTAATTCCTGTTTTCCTTTTGAAAAATCTAGAATCAGTGTAAATTTTTAATTTTATGCCTAGAGACATCTTGATTTTTTCCCCACAAACCTTCTCTGTGATAAAGCCTGTGAAGTATCAAATAATTTATAAGTCAATGCAGAAACAATAGAGACTTCCTTTTTTTCTCTTTTATTTTTTAGTTTTTGTATGTTAATGTAGAAACGTGCATTAGAACTACAAATATTCCACATCAGTCTTCGTATCCTTGGACATTTTCCCTTATGGCTTATAGCACATTGTTTGTCTTAACTAAAAATTGTAAAAACTGTTAGTATCAGGAACTTTTGGAAAAAAAATCAAATCGCTTTTATTGATGAATAAATTTGGAATGCAGTACATTAATTGAGGTTTCAAAGCACATCTCAGACTCAATTTTTCAATTAAAAATTATACCATTTATTGCTTTGCTGTAAAGGTAAAGCCTGCTTTAAAATAAACTAGGAGATGAATTGACAGTATACAAGCTCTCCGGGTAAACATCGTTATTCCTCAGAGTTTAACATGACATCCTTCTGCTTGAAGAGCAGAAGTTAGGAAGTGGAGTGAAGTTAGGAAGTGTTAGGAAGTCGAGTGAACTACACAGCTCAAACAACCGAAGTCCCATTATGCTCAAGTCAAGAGGCTTTTTTTTTTTTTTTTAATGTTCGGTTGGAAAAATCAGCTCATGTATTTAAAGGAATAATTATTTTATTTCTAATTCCCTGGTCTGACACAATACACTAAAAAGATTTAGTTAAGTAGGAATAAAAAGCAGTGCGATCTGTCAAAAATTATGTTTCAAAAATTTGAATAAGTTGTTATTCAAATTATTATGTTTTAATAATCTGAATAAGTTGACTGTTCATTCTGCATCTAACCTGTCCATCTGCCTGTTATCTGAAAGGCCTCTGTAAAATTTTGAACTTTTTTTTTTTTGATGTATACTCTTCCATCCTTTAACCAGAAGAGGGAGCTGTTAAATTTAAAAATTGGGCTTGTTTTTAAACTATGACAAAAATCAACTGCATTTTTTGACTTGGCCTAAAAGAGAACATCTAAGACAATGTGGTGAAAGAAATTCACAGAGTAGATCTTAAATACTGTTTCTACTTTCTTGTTTTATTTATATAATTTTGAAAACTTTACCTCTATGCCTGAATCACAACCAGAAGTTTTATTATATATTTTTAAATTATAGCTACTTTAAAAACTTATGACTTAGTATCTTTGAAGAGGTAGTTTTGCTTTAAAGCATTTTTTCAATGGAAAAGTGATAATTAAAAAAACAAAAAGTAACAAAACAATTGGGAAGAATGAGAAATTTCTTATTAGCATTCTAAAGAGAATGTGCTTTTCTTTCGTTGTTATAAGCTGTCTTTTTTTCAATTGATACTATTAAGCATGCTAAATGGTGCAGAAGTATTACAATGATTTCCTTCCTTTTGCATTATTTCTTTAGTTCAGTTATTGTACTAGTTTTCTTTGATATTTTTCACCTGATAAGAGAAATGCCAGTATCTTACTATGCATACCTGAAGCTTTCAAAAACCTGCTCTATAGAAACATGAAGGTATATGCCACAAGTAATGAGTTGTAAAGACCTACATACCTAAATCTGTGAGGAGGTAGGCAACCTTTTCATATACCTAAAACAGAAGAAAAAGAGATGGTGTAAGTATAGCAAAAAACATCTGTTGGGATGTCAAACGTAGAATGAAAATTAGAATTAAAAGCATAAATATTCTGCAGTCCTAGAGCATCAAGTTAACTGGACAAAGAAGGGAAATGCCTTAGCTTTGGATATATAGTTTCCAGTGAAAATTTCATTGAACTATTTTTGTCTTCTTTCTCTTCATCCATAAAAATGCATGCATGTGCACCCACACACATTATGTCTATATATATAGATATAAATCAAGAGCCAATAGATCACGAGAAGTGCTCAAAAAGCAGCTTGATGCCTGTCCTCTATCCTTAGGAACAAATCGATGTGAACTTAGAGAAAAGTCTTTACCATAAATCTTTCCTCTGTATGAAAGTGCAAACTGAAGAGACTATCAGAGTTCTACTGAAAACTTCCTTATCTGTTTATTTATTAATAATCTTCAGTCTTTATTTTAAATGATAGTTTAGCCCAAGGTAATTGCCAATTCTGAAAACACAACTATTTCCTTGAATATTTCCTGTTAATAGCAAGTTACTTTTCATCATTCTCACATGCTTGTTCGAAATCAAAAACTTACCACATTGAGGGACATGATGATCATAAAATTGATACAGACTCCAGTGCCAGATGTTGCAAACTGCCAGTACTTTTTGATGAAATACCATTTAAACGATGCAAACTGTTCCATAGCTACCAGACGATATACCACAACGGCAAATACTGCAGTGAGCACCAGGGAAATCTAGAGAGAAGAGTTTATGGATTAGAGAAATCAGAACCAAGTAAACTGTCTGAAATATTTTCCACTTAATAGATTAACAAAAGATTTAGAGATTCAATTCAGTGAGCAGGTTCCTTCAGAGAAGTAAAATACTAGACAACTGAGCTAAAATTTCTTTTTACTGTACTTTTACAATACAGCTTTAATAGACTATTTGAAAGAAAACACTCCATTAACATGGAGTAAGCTTGATCTGATCAGTTCTATGCCATTACAGAAATCAATTACATTTAAGCAACTCATTATTTACGTGAATATTTATATCAGGATAACATAAATTTCTTAATAATTCCAATATTACACAGTACCATGAAGAATATTCCTGAGACAGACACCATCAGCCTACTGAGTTTATCAGGGAAAGGTTGAAAAGGTTCAGGTTTTCCTGTGAATG